TATCATTCTCAGCTCTGAAGTCAAATGTCATGAATCAGTGCTTAGCTGTCAACAGTCTTCATAAACGTGGATCCATTAAATGTTAATGGATCCAGTGGTAAGGCAAATTTAAGATTTTCTTTTTTCTATCAACTGGTTTGAATTTTACAGTATAAAATTAATAAGTCATTCATTCAATAGTGGTTATAAAAGGTGGTCAAATAACAGCAAATAATAATAAAAAACACCCTTCAATGTCAAGCCTAGGGAAGATGTATATACCCATACACATGTAAATAAACACATTTATGTAGTACATTTTAGCAAAAAATGTACTACAGTTCTTTTTAGAAGTGGTCGCTAAAGACTTTTAGACACTTTTATTTTCAATTAAAATTAGCACTGCAGCTTTAGGTATGATTCAGCATCACTAAAACAAATTTATTTCCATGTATATTTTCATACTTGACTCACAATTAACACTGTTCTCTCCAGATCATGTCACAACATCCAACTATGAATTAATAACATGACACAACAGAAGAAATAAAGAAACGAAAAAAACAAAGAGTTTAGTAACTGTGTTGAAAGATCAATTTTCTTCCATTTAAGTCAGAAATACAAGGCAGTGCAAATATAAACCGTTAGGCGGTCCAGTTAAGTGACTCCTACCGTGCACATCAAGACAAATCAAGGCACAGACCTTCACACTGTGTTTTCTGCACGCCGGCAGCAGTGTAATACTTTGGCAAGGACTTAGAACTGATGTTTTTACTGATGCTGGGTAAATATGTATTTGATCCTGGTTCAGTGTTTGTGTTTATTTTGTCTTTTGACTGATCTCCGCTGGTGATAATTAAGCCGACCAAACTGTTCCTTCATCAAGTTTGTTTCCACAACCCTCTGAGATGGTAAAGCTGTATGAAACACGCATGCAGAGACCAACCCTGTTTTTCCTGAGTGTCTCACTGCTCTGCACTGATGAACCACGTGTCACGTCAAATGACCTTAATGACTCCAGAATCCTGCTTCAATTACCAACCTCCACCTTAATTCTCTCCATCTTCCTCTCTTCCAACTTCTCCACATCTGCCTCCATCTTTCTCTGTCTCACACATAACCTTTAAGCACAGTGCTATCTTTAACCCGCCGTGCTGCGCCATTAATGAAGGCAAGGATTATTTGACGCATGAATAAAATGTGATCTGCATGTGGCCCACCGTTATAAATCATCTGCACAGGTGAAAGAGCAAATGACTCTTTACCCCTGACATTGGAGTCTGTCAGGATGTGTGTTTAACGTAGCCTGAATGGTTTCTGCTATAATTGACTGACAAAGTCATTTTAGTGCAGTGTGATGCAAAGAACGTGTTGCCACAAAGCTATTAACTGAATCGCAAACGTGGAATAGCGTAGCGTCTTGTCTCGTTTTGATGAAAACATAGCCTTTGTAAAGAAAGATAATGGAAATATTTCAAATCAATGAAGGAAAAACAAAACAAAAACAGTTGGTGGTTTATTTGAGGAGTACGGGATATTTGTGGTATAAATTATGTCTTTAAGAGAATTCTATTTGAGGAGTCAGATAGAGTGAAAAGTGGTTGCCTCACAGCAAGAAAATCTAGAGTTCGAAGCCCAGTAGTAACTATGGGATCCAAAAGAAAATGTGGAACTAGGACAGCCACACGCAGACGTTTCCCGTTGGTTGCATTCACGGCTGATAGTAAAATACAATGTAGAACAAATATATTTGGCCTCCAAACTCACTCAAAAATTTCTGCCAAAGAGGCTTGTCCTTGTACTGACCATAAAACACATCATTGTCTGAGCTAGCTAAGTGTTTGTGGAAAAGGTCAGTTGGAAAGTGGGACATGATTGGCGACTGGTTATTTGCAGTAAGTCATCGTCGTGACATGAAAATCCATCGGGGAGAAGAGTTGCATCTCTTTCTGGCTGGAATTGACCACTAATCAATGGTCTAGGAAATTGGTCAGAGGTGCATGGCAATGAGGAATAATGTGGGTGTGGAGGGTTATAAATGTTTGAAGCAATAGCTGGAGATTATTTATGGTCACAACACTGTATATTCAAGCTGACACATCAGCAGTTAGGTCTGGGACTATGGGTCTTTCATGAGATGCCAAATATTTCTGTCTAATTATTCCAAATGGCAAGCTTGGAACAGTGCTGGTTGTCAGTCTGTGGAACAGTGCCTGTTATTTAAATATAAAATCTGCTGTCTGTTCATTTTGCACTGCTGAGGAATATCCCAGTCTCCTGCAGTTTTTAAATACAAAACTGTTGTTTAGTAAACTGTTGTTGCTGATTAGATATCGTTAGACTCCATACTTAATACAGCATGATCATATACACCCAGGGGTAAATATTAATCAGATCTTCCTGCACTATAGGTTTAATCATAGAAATTTACCTTATTTGGAGGGGAAAAAAAACAAGACTATTTCCTTTCCTTTTAGACTCAAATCCTAGTGGATAAGTATGTATTCAAGCAGATCTAAATCTACTTCCTAAAATACTCACAGAGCAACAGTGGAGCCCTGATGTTAAGTTGAAGCGTAAAAATGAGCAAACAGCCTGAACAGGAACGCACATATTTACACGAAACAAGTAAAAGCTTCGATACTTATTTACAGTTAACATACCCACGTGTGAATGGGCTATTACACCAAGCAAACACCACACAACAGGCTACAGTTTGTCTCTAGAATAGTGATTCCCAACCACTGACATCATCAGGTGTCACAAGGAATATTATTCAAATTGACTTAATCAATCTGAAAACTATTATCTACTGACTACAAAAACACTGTCTAATAGTGATATTCACTCTAACTGTTTCAACCAGAAAGACAGTAATTAACAGTAAAGAAATCGTCATGGGTCATTAGTTGAAACTAGAATCCTTATATTGCATTACGTATACTTGTTTTTGGCGGTCTACTGTGGGATTTTGTGAAATATTTGCTGTGGCTAATTAAAAGGGTTGTGAAAAACTGCCCTCAGCTTATAAAGTGCATTGTTAAAAGCACTTTCAAATAAAAAGTGATTTTGCTTCTTAAACAGTTGGTCCAATCATTGCGCAGAATTAATGCTGCCACGCTTGTAAAATGATCAGTGACTCCTAGTGGGTAGCTTCCATTGATTTTATTTGTTTGTTTGTTTGTTTCTTTGTATTTTTAGTGTATTTTCTTCAACTAGTGTCTACTCCTCACAGTGAATAAACGCCTTCTAAGTGCTGCCCTATGGAAGCCAATTGAATCTGAATGTCAATTGGGAAAAAAATCACAGCCTGGAATCTGGAATAAACAGCTGATTCTGAATAAACTGCTGTACTCATACAAGAACACTTTTTTACTTTTAGTTATTGGAATAAATTAAGTTGGATAAATGTTTCATCCAATATATTTCATGGTAGGTGCGGATCTGCGGGGGGGTCTTGAGTGATTTAATCTGGCAGAAGCTTCTGGGTCCAAAACATACACCTATCCCCCAACCCCATGCTGCATTGCTTCATGAAGGAAATCACGCTCATTCAAAACTCTATTAGAAATACTGCTGCAGCAGACCCCAGATAAAAGGAACATTCAAATTTACAGAATTGAATGTGATAAACTTTGTACGATGCCTTTCCATTTCATCTCGACCCCTAGCAGCAGTTTTCATTAGAAAAATCTTCTGACTGATTCCATTTCTTTTTTTCATTTGCCCTTTTCTGTATAAGTTCTTTCTTCCTCCAGAGCCAAGACACTTGGTGATAAGTGTATCTACTTCTGCATAACAGGTCCAGGCTGCTAGTTTTGAATCAGCCTTTGAGTGCACGACTGTGTACTATGAGTATATGTGGAGACAGAGGAGTGAGGAATGGCTCGTCAGTGCAGGTTGGCTTTTGAACAATAGGTCCTTTTGCTTTAGACCTGTCTCTGTCTGGAGACTGAGTGACATGACAACCTGTGAAGGCAAACCTGTCTCCCACTGTGCTTTATACTGTGATCTGTACAGAATACAGTGTTTCTCAGAGCCCAGTGTGTACTGCTGTGGGCTGTTAGATGAAAATACATAGAAGTGAATCACAGACAGTGTCAGAAAAAAAAGCGCTGGTATAACAGTAGTATAACGTATATGTAATGTAAATGTATAATCAATTTGTGAATTCAAAAACATTAGGCATTAAACATAGGGAAAGTGGCACTTTTATTATCTTTAGCCCAATGCTATCCAAAAAAAGTGGATCATCTACTGAATTCTCTTCAAGTAAGATGCTTTGAATAAAAGTGTACTAAATAAAATACCAATACAGTCGGTCCTTGGTTTACAACATCGGCTCTAACCCCCATGTATAAGTTTAGAGAGTCTTGCCCCATCATTCTGATGAGCAAAAAAGTTATTGGTGAATTTGCTGGTCCTTTTTAAACTTTTTGCTCTTCATTATGGCTCCCAGGCACAATTTTGAGTCTTCTAATAGAAGTGTTTCAAAGCAGAAAAAAAGAAAAGCCATGGAAGTGAAATTACGTATAATGAAACTCTTGTAAAAGGCTGAATCACCGACGAACATCATCCGGTTGCTTTTGCTTCCGAGTTTGTTCTTACCATCATTTTTGTACCCAATGCTGTAAGTGTTAAAGTCCATGGTTTTGTCAGTCAAATTGGCCATTAGGAATCCAACAGCACCCTTCTAAATGGTATTTATTTCTATTCGCTGAGACTAATCATGTACAAGTAATAGTTTCCTGAGCAACAGGTTTAAATTTGCGACGTAATTGCAGGTACAGTGAAAATTCTATGTCATTACTAAGAATCGGATCCCACTTAATATTGACGTCAACCTATTATATCTTTTCTTGTAACTTGACAAAAAGTTTTACATGATGTAAAAAGTATTATAAAATGCATATTTGTTTCGCAGGACCCAAATGTAACACTCGAGAGACAGAAGACAGTCAGAAACAGTTCAAAAAACACAAGAGCAGCAGCAGCTACAGAACCAAGAACTCAAAACTCACCTGTCTCAGGCCAGGCAGATGGGCAGACAGAACAGAAGGGCAGAAGCAGGAAACCACAGGGGAGTGCAGCCACGGGAAACAGACAGGACTACCTGGAGAGCATACGTCAAACAACAACATGCAAAAGTCAAACAATGAACTGACAAAAACCAAGTGATGGAGAGACACATACTGTATATACCCAGGTCACCAGGAGTGACGGGTTAGACTAATGAACAGGGACGCACAGGCCACAGGTGAGTGTGATGACACTAATTATCCAGGGAGAGACAGACGGACATGGCGTTATTACAGTTATTTAAAAGGAAAAAAATGGTAGTCTGTCAGAACCAATGCTGGACAGCAATACAGGCAACTAAAATATATTTCAAGTTTTTACAAAGGAAAATGTGTATTTACATGTGTTTACTGTGTGGAAAAATCCCACTTACAGAAAGATCCCAAACCATCATCACATTTTTTATCCCACACCCCCCCTAGCGGCAGATCGCACACCCAGAGGGGTGCTGGCAACGCATTCCAGAAGTTCGGAAGTAGGTGAGTGACAGAGGTACTTATGTATACAGTATGTGACTGAATTACTTGAATTACTGACTTACTTTGCCCTACTTTGCTTGTGCCGTAAATTTTTGTATAATGGTCATAGTTTGGTGTTAAGGTTTGTGTATTAGAATTTTTTTTTTCTATCAGAATAGTATGATATTTCAACAATCTTTTGGTGGAACTCAGATTCAGAACCAGCAGCACCAGACCATGCTCTATTAGGGAAATATATTTCCACCATACTTGGCTAAGTGTTGCATTTTTGTCCCCAATTGTGGAAAGAAATTCTCCACAATATCCTCATTGAGGCGAACAGACTGACTTTAGTGAGGAGCACTGACCTGGGATAAAAGTGATCCTGTCTTACTTTGATTGCTGTCAACTCAGATTTACTTCATGAGGCTCCGAGCAAATAAAGAGCATGTGTGACGCACCATCGGATTCTATTTTTACACCAAATGGAACAATCCTGTAATACTTACATCGGTCCTAATGAACTATTTATTATGTTGGAGTTGTGTAACTAAAATAAAAGAGTACTATTAAACAACATATTGCTGCAGTTGTAATGCCTTCTTAAAAAACAATGCAATTTTGTAAATTTTTTACCCAACACAGATTCATTACTGTCTGTTTAGAATAGGACCACTACACTCATTATTGTATTTTAGTTGACAAATTTACATGCAGACGAGTTGAGCTTTAAGGTGAAATTAAAATGAGGAGGTTCTAATTGAACTACAGGAAACATCAAGTGTATCATGTCGTTTCACACACCATGGTGACCTTTTTACCCTTTTTTTTCTCTCTTTCTTCAGATTTGGTGTCTGAGCATTGAGCCTACCAAATCTTTTTAGCTGCACTTAACCTTTCCGTGAGCCATAACCTGATTCTGAACTGTCTTCTTAAGACACAATTCTCATTTACTTCAATGCTGCTTTTTTCCTGTGTAAAAACCTGTAGAACAGTACAACAACCAGCCTTCACGCTCAGATTTTGTCACTATGTTTTTAACTGTGAAAGGTGACAGCCCCAAATTAATCGCTATCTTGCCCCGAGAAAAAATGTTATTAAATTGGCAGACAGCTCCAAAGGTTGGCACCGAGTTTGTAAAGGCCATGAGAAATCCTGGCCTGTTTTAATGCCCAGTCGTGCAACACAGACCTGGTTCCTGGTTCCTACTATCTCAGCAGCTTATTATACTTAACCTTATGAATCTGTTCTAATGTTTTTTGGAGTGTGTTGCTAGAATCTTAATTTTAATTATATAATAAAGATTGCTAGCAAAAAAAGTTTTGCATGTCATAGAAATTTGTCTGTATATTTTCTGAATATTTGGTTTTGATCATCATCACAAACTAAAGTGAACTGTCATCAAACTCTCCATCCATCCTGAAAAAGTGGTTGTAAAAGAAGAACGTTGCACAGCTTCTGTTTTCTTGGTTGGGTTGCAAATACTTTTATATTCAGTCTTCACACATTTGTCAAGTAATTGAATCTCAGTAGAATATCACAAATGATCTGAACTTTCACACACACACTTTCAAAAGAAATTCAAACCAAACATTAGGCTTAATAAATAAATTAAATATATTTCTGGATCCTAGCTTGTTCTTTGCACCCTATTGGTTTTTCATACATGTCAATTTAGCTCTTTCTAAAGCAAGTTTACGACTTTAACGTTAATGAGGAGTGTAGGGTGCTTTCAGCAGTTTGGGGTCTTCAGGTTAATGTCTCTATTATGATGATAATGAGTTAGGATAAAATCTAAGAAGTCTTTATGTCGGGGTCACTTCGATTAGGCCAAAAACTGCACAGATCAGTTAACGGCTGTGTTACAGGTACAGTTACACAGAGGAACGTTTAAGATCTTTTATTTTAAAGGGAATTTCTGTAGGGCAGAAGATCAGATCAGTTTAACCTGAGTCACTTGAGAGGTTCTAAAGAACTGGTAAATGAAAGAAGTTGATAGAGATATATACGAGAGACACAGCCCAGCTCCAGTGAACGCTGCCGAATCTT